CGTCTGTGGGGACCGTTCGAGAAGTCAAACGGTGTCCCGTCTGAAAATTCAAACAAATCTCCTTCGACTCGAGCAGCCGCCGCCACCGGCACCGCCGCCGGCCGCCACCGCCGTCGCCGGCCTCTGGCCAAAGTGGCCAGATCGGAAATATTCTTACATCATTGGATAGATCTCCTCGAGGAGAATGTCCCCTTAAAATTTCGTTCGAAAATTCATCCGGGAAGGCCGTCGATTTTCCGGTCAAAGTTTTCAGATCTAAGTAATTCTGGTCAACTATCAACCTTCAAATCAATTTTCCCGATAATCCGAGAAAGCTATCGGAAATCCGAGGGTACCATCGGAATCCTCTCGCCGAGACGAATCTCCAGATCCCGACCTCCGCCGATCGCCGCCGCCCTCCGCCGCTGACCGCCGCCGCCTCCGCCCCGGCCGCCGGTCAAATTGCTCCGATTAGAAAACCGTTGGTACCATCGTGAAGCACTCGTCAAGCTTGTTCTACCCTTGCAATTTCAAGCAAAAATTCCTACTGGAGGGTAATCGATTTTACGGTCAAAATTCTGTAGATCTAGTCAACTTCATCTTCTTCCCCGGTCTGCTCTTTCGATTTCATGGCGATTCTCAGCGACTCAGCTCGAACCAGCGGCACCATCGAAGTCTACGCGTTGAGCCGCACCTGGACATGGTCTCGTTCGCCGGGAACGACGAGGTTGCTCGTCAGTCATTTCCCAATCTTTTCCACCGGAGCACTTCCAGGCCACCTGGAGCTCGTCGCTCGCCTCGCCCAGGGCCTCCGTCCACTCCACAATCCGAGAGTCTACTCGGCCTACCACGGATCTGCTCGCGTTACGCCACCCCCTCGACCGGATTTGCAGGTCGCCAATCTGGCCTAAGTCTGTTGACCGTCGGATGTTCTCGAGAGTCTGCTGGGCTGCTCGGCCAGGTCGCCGGTGAGCTCGAAGACCGCCGCCTGATCAGCTCCTCCGCTTGAAGCTCTGCGCAAGAACATCGGAAGTAACACGGGCCACGCCCCAGCCCGCGGCCCGTCCCCCACTCAACTCTCAGCCCGAGCGCCCAACCAGTGTTAAGCCCGGGTTCCAGCAGCTTTTCATCCGTGTGGGCCCGCGCCCAGCTCCTGCTGCCTCAACTTAGCCCAACAGCGGATTTCAACCTCTCAGCCTGGCCCAGTTGCGGAT